GAAAGGGATTTGGTCTTACCTGGCTCTAATCTTAAAGGAGAAGATAGGAGAAAAAGTCAAGCTACATAGGAAGAGAAAAAGGAAAGTACTAAAATCGAAAGAGACAATAAAGGCCCAAAGCTTTTCCACAGCTGCCATTAATAATGTATTTCCGATATATTGCAGTGTTATATAAATCGTCGCCAGTTTCCCCCTTCTCTTTGTGGGAAGAAGTGCTAGAAATCAATACTCATCCCAGTTGTAAAAATTGGTTTTCTTCAGTGGCTCCCTCTCCCTCCCCAATGGCTTTTTCCTTGAGCGCAATCTTGTTTTTGGCACAGTGGCTCTGAAGTCTCAAATACAAGGATCTCCTTTCATTTAAAGAGAAAGATTGGGTCCGGCTCTTGTCTGTGGAAGGGAGGGACAGAGAAATCCAGCACAAGGCATCAAGGTGGAAACACTTCCTTTAGAAGCAGTGATGTTCCTCGGAATGGGAAGCACTAGGCAGAGCTATGCAAACTGAGCTGCTTTAAAAAGGTCCCAGAATAACCCCAAAAGTCTGTGCCAAGCAAACCTGACTCCTACAACCTGTGTATATTTGAAGATTTCACAGAATGTATTAAGATTCTGCCAAACATGAGATGAATGAAAGTTCTATATACTATGTATGTGTGACAAATCTACAAATCTATTAGTAGATTTCCAAGGTGGTAACAGACCTCCAAGAGTTTCTGATTCAATGAGAACTAGGACATAAATAAAAATGAAACCCAACCACCAATAATAAAGTACAGAAAAACATATCTGCCATAGCTAGCCTTCATCATCATTACCACCACTATCATCTTAGAACTACAGATCTAGAAGGGACCTGATGGATCTTAGAACTGCAGATCTGGAAGGGACCTGATGAATCAGCACGTCAAGCTCCAGTCAAGGAGGAACACTGGGGAATCAAACCCTCAACCTCTGGTTCCAGTGAGATGCCTAAATTACTGAGCTATCCAGCCTTATACTAGTTACAGCTCTGCTTAGTAGAACTCAATATTCTATTTTTAAGCATTGTTAGTTCAAGTCTGCCATCGGTGTAATGAAAGGCCATGCCATGATCAAGTGATTGGGCCAGAGGAACTGAACATCTGCCCAGTTTGCCAAGACTATTTCAGTGGAAATTTCTGGATTGCAGGAAGATTTACTGTGTATATTTGATCATTGGGTAGTTCCATTAATGTTCTTCAGGAAAAACAACGGAAATGTGTAGCACCTTGAGCTTTTGTGGATTATAGCTCACTTCATTAGATGAAATGAATTCTTGCCCAAAGTATATACAGTGGTGCCCCGCATAGCGACGATAATCCGTTCCGAAAAAATCGTCGCTATGTGGATTCGTCGCTTTGTGGGGCAAAAAAGTCCATAGGAATGCATTAAAACACGTTTAATGCGTTCCTATGGGCAAAAAACTCACGGTTATGCAGAAATCCTCCATGCGGCCGCCATTTTCGCTGCCCGGTAAGCGAGGAAAGGGC